TATTTTATATAAAACAATTAAACTTCAAGTAAAGGTCCCAGAGAGCCGATGTGATATTCTGTCGGCCGTACTTTTAAGACAAATGTGCAAAGAGATTATAATTTTATATGCGAATCGCGTATTTTAGTAAAATGTATTTTTGTATAAAAGTGAATCTATGTAAATATCTGAAAGATCAAAGAACACGGTGTAAATGCAGCAAACTATTTATGTACTCTTAATAACGAAACAAAGCGCAATTTAGCTATAAGTACGAACTAGATACTATGAATGTCCTTCGACTTTTGATAACACCGATTAAAACATTTGTAAATACATATGACAATTTTATTTATTTGCTGGAGAACGACACGCGGAACGATTTCCGCTATGGAAAATAGGTGGAAATTTTTATATAAGAACTTTTTATACCCTTACAGATGGTATTATAATTTAGTCGTAAAATGCATAAAAGGAAACATATCCAGCCCCATAAAGTATATATATTTTTGATCAACATCAACAGCCGAGTCGATATAGCCATGTCCGTCTGCGCGTCTGGCAGTTTCTATGAGAACAAGTCTCACAATTTTAAAGCTAGCTTGATGAAACTTTGCAGAAGTTTCCTTCTGTTGCATGCAGTACAAATGTGGAAACCAACTGGATCGGACCACTATATCATATAGCTACAATAGGAAAGATCGGTTGAAAAGTAGGTTCTTGTATGAAAAACATTTTCGTTTATAAAGATATCTTGACCAAACTAGGCGTTTATTAGTTTTACTATGCTCCTCACATATTTGCGAAATCCTATTAAGATCGGGCCACTAAATCATATAGCTGCCATAGAAACGATCGCTCGAAAGTTAGGTTCTTGTTTGAAACACATTTTTGTTTATCAAGATATCTTGACCAAACTCGGCATTTATTAGTTTTACTATGCTCCACTTAATCATATAGCTGCCATAGGAACGATCGGTTGAAAATTAATAAGTTGTATGGACAACTTTGTTTTTCAAGATATCTTAAGTCTGAGCATTAACTATTTTCGCTGTGCTTCCTAGATACGGGCAAAGGACTAAGAACATTACAGGTTGGGTCTGCAAGAGTATTAAATCTTCGGTTGGGCTTTCGACTAATAACCCTTTGTCAACATTAATTAAAGACGGCTTAACTGTTGTATAATACTCCTCTCCCCGACCGCTTGGAAAAGTCAAAGTTTCTTTTTCATATAATCTAATGTTGATATATTCTTATTTTCAGAGTGACTTACCGATTGCCGAAAATCCACTCACTGGGTAAAAAAGGCGGCTCAAATTTGTATTCTGGCAATCTTATTTAATCTGCTGGCTCAACGCTTGCGAGCTTTCATGCAAGATCCGCCATTTATATTTTACACTCACACACACACATATACATATAGCACACCACACATATACATATGTATGGCGGGCAGCCTCACAGCTGCAACTGACACTATATACACTATATACTGCTGGGCCTAGTCTTCGTCTTTATGTACACTAGCACAAGCACTTACAAACTGTTATACCACGTACATATATGTGGACTTATTTATGCACTTCTCTTCTTCTTGTAAGTTTGAACTTAAACGTTTTTCGAATTTTAATACGAACACACACACACACACGCACACAATACACAACTCCACCGGGCCGCTTCACGGTTGCAACTCCAACTTCTGTTGGCAGCCTTATTTATGCTGCCAAGCCTTGCCAGATCTTCATGTTATTATTAAGACGAATACACGCACACACACACACACACTCTCTGTTGACTTTTAGCAGCAAGCGAATCGCAGCTTCGGAGACCTTTTTTATGCTTCATCTCTTCTCTTCTTGTGAGCTTACATTCATGATCAGTCTTCACATACAAACACACATATACACACAGACACATAACAGCACACAACCTACACCCACACCGAGCCGCTAATCAGCTGCAACTGAGACACAGCTTCAGTGGGCAGCCTTATTTATGCTGCTGGCTCTTCTTCTTGCGAGCTTCTCTAACTGTTATGGAAGTGTACATGTATGTATATTCCTATTTATCTTCAAGGAGCTGTGGGGATTGGTGTATTCATTTTATTTTTGGTATTAACTTTCGAGATATCGTTGTGGAAATTGTCAGACAAATAAGAACTGGAAAATCTAGAAATTTGATAGCGCTCATATAACCAATAGCTGATACTTAAAGCAAAAGTTCAAAGGAAGATAAATCTTAAAATCAAAACATTTAACACGTTCTCGGATCTATAATTCCTGACCAAGGAAAACAACTAAATTATACGTATAATTTATGGAAACCACAAAGAATACGGACCAAACCGATAAATCCCTATATGATTGCAATATCTGTTTGGGCACAGCCAAGAATGCGGTCATTTGTACTTGTGGCCATCTGTTTTGTTGGGCCTGCCTGCATTTGTGGACGCTGACGCCATGTAGCCAGCGCAGGTTTTGTCCCGTTTGCAGGGTGCCACTGGATAGGAGTAAAGTAATACCGTTATATGGTCGGAATTGTGCAGTGCAAGATCCAAGCGATACGATGGCGCCACGTCCTGCTGCACAACGGATCGAACCTAGTCCAGAATCTAGTTCAGTCTACTTGGGCTTCCTCTTTGGATTTCACACATCTCTCGGCTATGGCAGCATTCCGATTGAGTCCCTTGCATCCGCGCTGAATTTAAACGACGAACAGGCGCTGTTTCTTTTCTTCGGTCTTTTTTGTCTCGGTTGGTTGATGCTCTAGCACACAGAAAATCAAATTTAAATGGGCATAATAAATATTCTACTAATTCGACATGTCCAACTGTGTAGAGCATCATAATCATAAATTGTAATCAGACCTAAAAATTACTTATCCAACAGAATCAAGTAAATTTATGATATAATCAAACAAGTTATTATATATATATATCTCAAAATATATGGATATTATTTTAATCTAAGTGAATCTTCATTGAGATCTTCAAATTTCTTCAAGTTTGTTTACATTACATTAATTGCACTCATTATTTATATTTATTATGCACCATTTATTATATTCAATCAAGTAATCAGTATAATTATTTAATTTGTAATTATAATTAATTATTCATGTAATTGTATGCAATTTGTGTATGTATATGTAATATTATTTTTTTTATATCATATGTTCGTGCTGTTCTTTTTATGTATATACTGAATGATCATTGCCTGCGTACAGCTTAATTTAAGATATTACAAAATATACGTTAGGTTAATTAAATGTATGTTAAGGGATGTGTGCGGAAAATATGGATGGGATGGGTTGGGGAGGGGAAGGGTAACAACTACATCGCAGAGATTAGCAGAGATTCGAGTCAAGTCTTATACAAAAATATTGTGCTTGAACTAATTCAAATCTGCCTGTTTTTATGCTATCGAACAGTTTCTTATTTCAAAAAATTCCGTTTTTGTGTGTATATATATATATATATAGATATATATGTATGACGTATTTATGTGTGTGTGTGTGTGTATGGTGTGTGCCAGTATCTGCAGGGCGTCCAGGACATTCGAGTCCTGCGGGCACTTCCTCACTTATCAATTTTTATTATTTGCCGTACAAAATGTGTGTTTTGTGTTTCTTTAATTCTGTTTTGTTGTTGTTTTTTTTTTTTTTTTTTTTTTTTTTTGGTTGATTTGTTGTGTTTCGTTTTCGTTGCGAAAGATAAATTTAATCACTGTACAAAAGACCGACGCCTTGACTTTTTGGCTATCTATGGGCCGCACAAATATTTTCGCTTCTGATCATCCATATAATCGCGTGTAGACATCTGTATGGCTCGCTGCAGCATCTCATTCTCATTGACGCCTGGCAAAGATCGGAGCAAAAATGTAAATTGCAAGTTTCTTGTATTAAAGAACAAAATAAACAGCACTAACCATCGTTGGCGTAGGAGGCCTCGAGCAGCTCCTGATAGAAGCTAGAGTAGCTCTGCTTTGGCGGCGACTGAGCATCGACACGTTTGGGTGGCGACTGGGACGACTGCTTGGAGGTGCATGGTTGCTGTTCCACTTCTGGCGTGCGCTCACGTGCAGCTGAGGGCGCAGCATCGCGCTTGGGACTCTTACGCTGCGGCGTTTCGTGTGCTTCCAGACTACAATCGGGCAAAGCATATGTAAGAGTTGCGAATTGGTGGCACTCATGGATAGCTGGCACATACCTGTTGCCTGCCTCACGGACTTCGTGCCGACGTTTCTTGCTGCTGCGCAGGTTGTTGCCCCGACGCTGGGATTTGGGCAATTTTTTGGACCGCTGTGTGGCGGCCGCTGTATTGGGCGAAGCATTGCCCCCACAGTGGCCCACCGAGCTGGTGCTGCTCATATCGGTGGCATCGCTCTCATAGCCGCCCAGTTCGTTTACATCAGGCGGTAGCTTGTGTGTAAACTGGCCTAGGCTCTTGGGCGATAGCGCAAATCCTGAGGCTGGGCCATCACCGACGCTGGAGCTGCTCAAGGTGGCGGCTGTGTTGCTGTTGCCGTTGTTGTTACTGCTGCCACAAACGCCTCCTCCTCCTCCTCCTCCATCGCTTGAGTATTTGGAGGGCGAAGCGTCAGAGTCGGTAAGCGCCTCGGCAGATGTCACTGTTGAAGATGTTGCCGAAGTGGCGGCTGTGTTGCTGCTGCGCGAACGCTGCATATTATCACGGCACCATTGTAAATAGGACTCGCGGGCGATTTGCTCCTCGATGGCCTCGTTGGTAGCTTCCCAGTCCGTTGTCTTTAGCTTATCCTCAAACATTGTCTAGACAAGACATATAAATTAATGTCATATTGATTTATATATATTTTAGATTACCTGTTCAATTTCCAGCTGCTCGCTAAGACGCACTGCCTCCTTGGTCTGAAACTCGGGCTTGTAACCAGCCAAACCCAAGCCGACGCCCACAGTGGCATTGTAAGGATCCAGTATCGCATTATAGTGAGAGCCTCGTTGATAGGACAAACGCAGCGGCGGATAACCAGCCTGCGATTGCTCCGAATTGAAGATGTTGATGGGAGCTGCAAGTATAAAAAATAATAAACATAAACACGAATGTCTAAGAGATCAAAAGTTTTTTGGCAAATAGGTGCACGAGGGTATCAAAGCAAATGTAAGTCGTCCGACGGGCTTTAGAATTATTTTCAAAGCGATATTTGCAACATTTATGTTTCTCATTATCAAAGATGTGTGGCGAAGGGCGGAAGCTATAAGTTCACAGGGGATAGCTAATAATTGAAAAACAAGATTCGGACGCCTGTTAGACTATAGAGCTTAGAGCAATATTGAATACTAACTCGACTGATAGCAGTAGACTTCGACGGTGCGACTGTAGATCTCTGATATAGCCTGTATCTCGATGTGATTGCCGTGTGCATCCCGAGCACGTTTTCGTTGAATGTAGCCGTTGATGTCCTCGGTGACAAACTGTCCAAAGTACTCGCGGTTTTCATGCTACAAGGAAAAAAATGGAAAACTTAGATATAATATGTGCATAAATACATATATATATATATAGATATTACAATATAGTCCATTGTGTGCTGACGTATGACATCGTGCATGCCCTCATCGCCATAGATCTGCAGAGATATTGAGCGAAATAGGCAGGCGCCGTCCTCTTCCACGGGCTTCAGTTCATAGCCGCGCTTCTCCATGCACTTGGCGAACTCCTCGTCGCGCCTCTTCCACTCCTCGACCGAAATGGTACGCTCCTTGGGCTGCAGATGCTCATCGCCGCTATTATAGCCAGAAAATGTCTCCTCGACGGCCTTTAGCAAATTGGCCGCCGCAGCAGCCGGTGTGATCTGGGTCTGCGCTTTTGGTACGTTGGCACAGCCTAGGCCCAGATGTTCCGGCGATTTGCGACCCACGGCCGTTGGACTGCTATTGCCCGGCCCGGCGGCAACGGCAGCTGCCACCACTGAATGTGGACTACTGCATTTGCTGGTGACGCCCGCAACGCCGCCACCGCCTACAGTCGGGTGATTAAGGCTAAGTTTCTCGCGTTCCAAGCGATCTCGTTTGTGATGATGAGCGTGGCCCTCGTGGTGTTCGCGTCGTTTCGAGCGAGAGCTGTAAAACGGAAAAATTGATTAGACGCAGGTAGCGTTAAGGAAAAGGTATAATTGGGTTGTTTCAGATGCAGGCAAAAGACAGATGCAAGATAAAAAGATATCAATAAAGGTATTTTACAAAATTAATGCTTGATGCAATTGGGCATGAAATAAAAACAAAAAAACTTTATACAGAAAGTTATATAGTGATTCGCTTTTGATTAGTTTTGGTCAACAAGGTTTTAATTCATGAACTGGAAAATAGGTCCCTTTGGCAGCTTTATGATATAGCGATTCGTTCCAGTCAAAAAGTGACGCATTTATGCAGATAAAACAGCTCAAGAGACTAGTATGTGGAACAGGCAGATGGACAAAACATAGATTATCTAGCCGGGAATCCACACTCACCTTTTGTGTGGACTGCAGCGATGTGTGCGTGCCAGCTCGTCGTAGACCTCTCCACGGCGCTGTGGACTCTGCGGGCATAGAAATTGTATGATAAGGCATGCAAATGCATTAATTGCGTTGTTAATACGCACCTGGCCATGGCCATCGATAACCACATTGCGATGGGCCTGATTGACAACCGATTGCTCCACCACTACCTGACCAGAGACGTGCGCCTCGGTGGCATCCGCATCGACAACGCGCTTGCCACTGGGTGCACTGACTGGTTTTATGGTCATGCTGTGGCCGCCTGTGAACTACCACGCAATTCGTGAATGCGAAGCTTCAAATGATTCGACTGCTGCTTTTTTGTTGTTATGCGAAAGTTGAACACATGTGTAATATGGGAAATTTGGTTAGCTGTTGTTGGCCAGCTCAGAATTAGATTTTCTTCTGCGTTTGTGTGTGTATGTGGTATCACTTTTTTTTTTACACAAGTTCTTTGTCCGTGTGGCAAACGCTGCTTCAATAGATTCCCCTTATTAACGCACTTATATTATATTATGTTATTGATGTTGTTATTATTATTATGGTTGCTGCTTTCAAAACAGTTGATGTAGTAATTTATTCGACGCACAACTATGAAATCATATTCATAGCCAATGTAAATGGTGAAAATTTTGTGATTTTCGTTTCAATGTGGGTGTGTGTGTGTTTGCTGTGCCTGCGCCTGCATGCATGTGTGTGTGCTCGTCTGTGTGTAGTGTTTGCTAGCAATCGTCTTTGTCTCTTGCACTGTTGCAGAAACGATTAATTAAATACGTCGCTTTTGCTCAGTTGTATAATTGTGCGCAGTGCACTTTAGAAAATAACAAATTTCATAGTTTATAACAAGCTTGTGCAGTATTGTTTTTATGTTATTAGAAAGTTTAAAGCCAGGAGAGTCTGTTCGATTTTTGTATTTACACCAATCACAAATTCGTCAGATGCGCACGTTGTGCTTCTTCTAGCTCTTTTGGCATTTTTTAGGCAATTTCATTGAGTCAGCCTGTCGCGCCATACGGCGAACATCTGATAATAATCATGTAGGCCGCCAGTGTTGCAATATACGTGTTTTTTTACGGCTAAATTTAGCTTTTTTATGGCAATAATATACACGAATAATATGTAACATAATTTGCATGGCACCGCTTGGCATTTTTTATTCTATTGATTATTTTAATATCGACGAAACATCTTAAAAATTATTTGATTGATGATAATACGTACAAGTTTCTCTACCCAATTGGCAGACAGTTTTATTTAAAAGTTCGCCACATATTAAACAAATATTTAGGCAAATGTTTTGGCGAATATTTGCTATCAAATAGTTAATTAACAGCTGAAATAACATTGTTTTCGCGGTATTTATTTGAATATATTTCCCATACTGACTTTGTATAGCTTTGTATTGTGTCTATATAAATTTTTCTACCACTTTCTCATGGCCCTATTCTACGCATGCAAAGCAAACAAAAAGCGAAATTCTCTTTAAATAAAATGCGGCTAAATATATTGATTTGCATATATGTATATTTTACCAACTTTTATAGACAGAACTGTCAACATTTACGCATATATTGCTGTACAAAAGGAAATATTTGACAGTTAGTCTCATTGATTAAGTTAGTTTAGGTATTGACCATTCCAAGCGTCGTTGCCCCATCCAGTTCCGTAATAGTCCCAGGTCGGACTGGCTCCCACCCATGCTCCTTGCGATCCCCACCAGTATGGATATGCTCCAGTTCCATATCGGGCGCCTCCTACTTTCATGCTTCTACTGGCATATCTTTTTGATTTCTTGTTTAGTGCGATCTGTCCAGTATTTATTTGCGAATCGTCTGTTTCAAGGTTATCTTCGACATCAGAGGATAAGCTGCTTTCTTGACCCCTCTTGATGACCTTTCCGATAACACCCGGAATGCCCGAGGAGCTGGAATGCTTAGACCAAGTATAGGTAGTGCGAGTTCCGGACTTGCCGCCTTTTCGGCCGCCAGCATCTGCAGTGGAACTTCCAGAGTTGACACTTACAACCACCTTTCTTGATGGCTTCGTACCCTTTGTTGATGAACTAGACCGTTTTGACCAAGCACTCGAAGTTACTCTTCTCGTCCTTGAGCCGCCTTGGGTTGGAATTTGTTTAGCTGTTGTCGAAACTGTCTTGGAGCTTGATCGGTGTGTGTTGCCACCTCGAACAACTCTAGTGGCTGTCAAGGTACCAGACTGCTTGCTTCTGCCATTTTTAACCACTGCGATAGGGTCCACTGATGAGCTTGATTTTTTAGATGTTTTCGTAACTGTGGTTGAGCCAGATTGCTGATAGTCTCTGCTTCCAGCATTATTTTCAGCCCCAGAATTTGTCGTTGAGCTAGACTGATTTAATTCATCCGATGAGATGATCGTGTTTGAGGAGGATCCAGATTCAACATTGTTTCCGGTTTCAACAACACTGTTAGACTGGCCGGAACTCTCTTCAACGATGGGATCCACCGATGAACTGGTTTCCTCAGAGGTTGTCGTTGTCGTGGTTGAGCCAGATTGCTGTGAGTCTCCACCTCCAATAACAGTGTCGCCTGCTGAGGTTGAACTTGAACTAGACTGACTTGACTCATCCGAAGATGTGATCGTGTTCGAGGAGGATCCAGATTCAACATTGTTTCCGGTTTCAACAACAGTGTTGGTCTGGCTGGAACTCTCTTCTACGACGGGATCCACCGATGAACTGGAGTCTCCACCTTCAACAACAGTATCGCCTCCTGATGTTGAATTGGAACTAGACTGACTCGATTCATCCGAAGATGTGATCGTGTTCGAGGAGGATCCAGATTCAACATTATTTCCGGTTTCAACAACAGTGTTAGTCTGGCTGGAACTCTCTTCTACCACGGGATCCACCGATGAACTGGTTTCCTCAGAGGTTGTCGTTGTCGTGGTTGAGCCAGATTGCTGTGAGTCTGCACCTTCAACAACAGTGTCGCTTCCTGATGTTGAACTTGAACTAGACTGATTTGATTCATCCGATGAGATGATCGTGTTTGAGGAGGATCCAGATTCAACATTGTTTCCGGTTTCAACAACAGTGTTAGTCTCGCCGGAACTCTCTTCTACCACGGGATCCACCGATGAAATGGTTTCCTCAGAGGTTGTCGTGGTCGTGGTTGAGCCAGATTGCTGTGAGTCTCCACCTCCAACAACAGTGTCGCCTCCTGAGGTGGAACTTGAACTAGACTGACTTGACTCATCCGAAGATGTGATCGTGTTCGAGGAGGATCCAGATTCAACATTGTTTCCGGTTTCAACAACAGTGTTGGTCTGGCTGGAACTCTCTTCTACGACGGGATCCACCGATGAACTGGAGTCTCCACCTTCAACAACAGTATCGCCTCCTGATGTTGAATTGGAACTAGACTGACTCGATTCATCCGAAGATGTGATCGTGTTCGAGGAGGATCCAGATTCAACATTATTTCCGGTTTCAACAACAGTGTTAGTCTGGCTGGAACTCTCTTCTACCACGGGATCCACCGATGAACTGGTTTCCTCAGAGGTTGTCGTTGTCGTGGTTGAGCCAGATTGCTGTGAGTCTGCACCTTCAACAACAGTGTCGCTTCCTGATGTTGAACTTGAACTAGACTGACTTGACTCATCCGAAGATGTGATCGTGTTCGAAGAGGATCCAGATTCAACATTGTTTCCGGTTTCAACAACAGTTTTAGTCTCGCCAGAACTCTCTTCTATTACGGGATCCACCGAAGCACTAGATTCCTCAGAGGTAGTCGTGGCTGTTGAGCCAGATTGCTGTAAGTCTCCACCTTCAACAACAGTGTCGCCTCCCGATGTTGATGTTGAGCTAGATTGATTAGTTTCTTCCGAAGAAGTAATCGTATTCACGGAGGATCCAGATTCAACATTGTTGCCGGTTTCAACAACAGTTTTAGTCTCGCCAGAACTCTCTTCTACCACGGGATCCACCGATGAAATGGTTTCCTCAGAGGTTGTCGTGGTCGTGGTTGAGCCAGATTGCTGTGAGTCTCCACCTCCAACAACAGTGTCGCCTCCTGAGGTGGAACTTGAACTAGACTGACTTGACTCATCCGAAGATGTGATCGTGTTCGAGGAGGATCCAGATTCAACATTGTTTCCGGTTTCAACAACAGTGTTAGTCTGCCTGGAACTCTCTTCTACTACGGGATCCACCGATGAAATGGTTTCCTCAGAGGTTGTCGTTGTCGTGGTTGAGCCAGATTGCTGTGAGTCTCCACCTCCAACAACAGTGTCGCTTCCTGATGTTGAACTTGAACTAGACTGACTTGACTCATCCGAAGATGTGATCGTGTTCGAGGAGGATCCAGATTCAACATTGTTTCCGGTTTCAACAACAGTTTTAGTCTCGCCAGAACTCTCTTCTATTACGGGATCCACCGAAGCACTAGATTCCTCAGAGGTAGTCGTGGCTGTTGAGCCAGATTGCTGTAAGTCTCCACCTTCAACAACAGTGTCGCCTCCCGATGTTGATGTTGAGCTAGATTGATTCGTTTCTTCCGAAGAAGTAATCGTATTCACGGAGGATCCAGATTCAACATTGTTTCCGGTTTCAACAACAGTGTTAGTCTCTCCGGAAGTCTCTTCTACTACGGGATCCACTGATGAAATGGTTTCCTCAGAGGTTGTCGTTGTCGTGGTTGAGCCAGATTGCTGTGAGTCTCCACCTTCAACAACAGTGTCGCCTCCTGATGTTGAACTTGAACTAGACTCATTTGATTCATCCGATGAGATGATCGTGTTCGAGGAGGATCCAGATTCAACATTGTTTCCGGTTTCAACAACAGTGTTAGTCTCGCCGGAACTCTCTTCTACTACGGGATCCACCGATGAAATGGTTTCCTCAGAGGTTGTCGTGGTCGTGGTTGAGCCAGATTGCTGTAAGTCTCCACCTCCAATAACAGTGACGCCTGCTGAGGTTGAACTTGAACTAGACTGACTTGACTCATCCGAAGATGTGATCGTGTTCGAGGAGGATCCAGATTCAACATTGTTTCCGGTTTCAACAACTGTGTTAGTCTCGCCGGAACTCTCTTCTACGACGGGATCCACCGATGAACTGGAGTCTCCACCTTCAACAAGAGTGTCGCCTCCTGATGTTGAGCTAGACTGACTCGATTCATCCGAAGAGGTGATCGTGTTCGAGGAGGATCCAGATTCAACATTGTTTCCGGTTTCAACAACAGTGTTAGTCTGGCCGGAACTCTCTTCTACCACGGGATCCACCGATGAAATGGTTTCCTCAGAGGTTGTCGTTGTCGTGGTTGAGCCTGATTGCTGTGAGTCTCCACCTCCAACAATAGAGTCTTCACCTGATGTTGAGCTAGACTGACTCGATTCATCCGAAGAGGTGATCGTGTTCGAGGAGGATCCAAATTCAACATTGTTTCCGGTTTCAACAACAGTGTTAGTCTGGCCGGAACTCTCTTCTACCACGGGATCCACCGATGAAATGGTTTCCTCAGAGGTTGTCGTTGTCGTGGTTGAGCCTGATTGCTGTGAGTCTCCACCTCCAACAATAGAGTCTTCACCTGATGTTGAGCTAGACTGACTCGATTCATCCGAAGATGTGATCGTGTTCGAGGAGGATCCAGATTCAACATTGTTTCCGGTTTCAACAACAGTGTTAGTTTTGCCGGAACTCTCTTCTACTACGGGATCCACCGATGAAATGGTTTCCTCAGAGGTTGTCGTTGTCGTGGTTGAGCCAGATTGCTGTGAGTCTCCACCTCCAACAACAGTGTCGCCTCCTGAGGTTGAACTTGAACTAGACTGACTCGATTCATCCGAAGATGTGATCGTGTTCGAGGAGGATCCAGATTCAACATTGTTTCCGGTTTCAACAACAGTGTTAGTCTGGCCGGAACTCTCTTCTACCACGGGATCCACCGATGAAATGGTTTCCTCAGAGGTTGTCGTTGTCGTGGTTGAGCCTGATTGCTGTGAGTCTCCACCTCCAACAATAGAGTCTTCACCTGATGTTGAGCTAGACTGACTCGATTCATCCGAAGAGGTGATCGTGTTTGAGGAGGATCCAGATTCAAGACTGTTGCCGGTTTCAACAACAGTGTTAGTCTCGCCGGAACTCTCTTCTAGTACGGGATCCACCGATGAAATGGTTTCCTCAGAGGTTGTCGTTGTCGTGGTTGAGCCAGATTGCTGTGAGTCTCCACCTCCAACAACAGTGTTGCCTCCTGAGGTTGAGCTTGAACTAGACTGACTTGACTTATCCGAAGATGTGATCGTGTTCGACGAGGATCCAGATTCAACATTGTTTCCGGTTTCAACAACAGTGTTAGTCTGGCCGAAACTCTCTTCTACCACGGGATCCACCGATGAAATGGTTTCCTCAGAGGTTGTCGTTGTCGTGGTTGAGCCTGATTGCTGTGAGTCTCCACCTCCAACAATAGAGTCTTCACCTGATGTTGAGCTAGACTGACTCGATTCATCCGAAGAGGTGATCGTGTTTGAGGAGGATCCAGATTCAAGACTGTTGCCGGTTTCAACAACAGTGTTAGTCTGGCCGGAACTCTCTTCTACCACGGGATCCACCGATGAAATGGTTTCCTCAGAGGTTGTCGTTGTCGTGGTTGAGCCTGATTGCTGTGAGTCTCCACCTCCAACAATAGAGTCTTCACCTGATGTTGAGCTAGACTGACTCGATTCATCCGAAGAGGTGATCGTGTTTGAGGAGGATCCAGATTCAAGGCTGTTGCCGGTTTCAACAACAGTGTTAGTCTCGCCGGAACTCTCTTCTACCACGGGATCCACCGATGAAATGGTTTCCTCAGAGGTTGTCGTTGTCGTGGTTGAGCCAGATTGCTGTGAGTCTCCACCTCCAACAACAGTGTTGCCTCCTGAGGTTGAACTTGAACTAGACTGACTTGACTTATCCGAAGATGTGATCGTGTTCGAGGAGGATCCAGATTCAACATTGTTTCCGGTTTCAACAACAGTGTTAGTCTGGCCGAAACTCTCTTCTACCACGGGATCCACCGATGAAATGGTTTCCTCTGAGGTTGTCGTGGTTGTTGAACCAGATTGCTGTGAGTCTCCACCTCCAACAATAGAGTCTTCACCTGATGTTAAGCTAGACTGACTCGATTCATCCGAAGAGGTGATCGTGTTCGACGAGGATCCAGATTCAACATTGTTTCCGGTTTCAACAACAGTGTTAGTTTCGCCGGAACTCTCTTCTACTACGGGATCCACCGATGAAATGGTTTCCTCAGAGGTTGTCGTTGTCGTGGTTGAGCCTGATTGCTGTGAGTCTCCACCTCCAACAATAGAGTCTTCACCTGATGTTGAGCTAGACTGACTCGATTCATCCGAAGAGGTGATCGTGTTTGAGGAGGATCCAGATTCAAGGCTGTTGCCGGTTTCAACAACAGTGTTAGTCTCGCCGGAACTCTCTTCTACCACGGGATCCACCGATGAAATGGTTTCCTCAGAGGTTGTCGTTGTCGTGGTTGAGCCAGATTGCTGTGAGTCTCCACCTCCAACAACAGTGTTGCCTCCTGAGGTTGAACTTGAACTAGACTGACTTGACTTATCCGAAGATGTGATCGTGTTCGACGAGGATCCAGATTCAACATTGTTTCCGGTTTCAACAACAGTGTTAGTCTGGCCGGAACTCTCTTCTACCACGGGATCCACTGATGAAATGGTTTCCTCAGAGGTTGTCGTTGTCGTGGTTGAGCCAGATTGCTGTGAGTCTCCACCTCCAACAATAGAGTCTTCAACAACAGTGTTAGTCTCGCCGGAACTCTCTTCTACCACGGGATCCACCGATGAAATGGTTTCCTCAGAGGTTGTCGTTGTCGTGGTTGAGCCAGATTGCTGTGAGTCTCCACCTCCAACAACAGTGTTGCCTCCTGAGGTTGAACTTGAACTAGACTGACTTGACTTATCCGAAGATGTGATCGTGTTCGACGAGGATCCAGATTCAACATTGTTTCCGGTTTCAACAACAGTGTTAGTCTGGCCGGAACTCTCTTCTACCACGGGATGCACCGATGAAATGGTTTCCTCAGAGGTTGTCGTTGTCGTGGTTGAGCCTGATTGCTGTGAGTCTCCACCTCCAACAATAGAGTCTTCACCTGATGTTGAGCTAGACTGACTCGATTCATCCGAAGAGGTGATCGTGTTTGAGGAGGATCCAGATTCAAGACTGTTGCCGGTTTCAACAACAGTGTTAGTCTCGCCGGAACTCTCTTCTACCACGGGATCCGCCGATGAAATGGTTTCCTCAGAGGTTGTCGTTGTCGTGGTTGAGCCAGATTGCTGTGAGTCTCCACCTCCAACAACAGTGTCGCCTCCTGATGTTGATATTGAACTAGACTGATTCGTTTCTTCCGAAGATGTGATCGTGTTCGAGGAGGATTCTGATTTAACATTGTTGCCGGTTTCAACAACAGTGTTAGTCTCGCCGGAATTTTCTTTTACGACGGGATCCCCCGATGCATTGGATTCTTCAGAGGTTGTCGTTGTCGTAGTTGATTGCTGTGAGTTTCCACCTCCAACAACAGTGTCTTCACCTGATGTTGAAGAGGTGATCGTGTTCGAGGAGTATCCAGATTCAACATTGCTGCCTGTTTCAACAACAGTGTTAGTCTGTCCGGAACTCTCTTCTACGACGGGATCCACCGATGAACTACTTTCCTCAGAGGTTGTAGTTGAGCCGGATTTTGAGGAGTCTCCACCAGACGATGTCGTAGTTGTAGTTGAGCTTGAACTTGATTGATTTTTGGATTCACTCTTTATTATTTTATCAACACGGCCCGAGGATCTGTGATTATGCGGAATAGTCTTTCTTATATCGTTTATGATTGAATCAAATTGAGCGTTATTTTGCTGAGCTCCTAAAACGTCAGCTGTTGAAGTTATCCGATTATTTGCACAGTTCACATGATTATGATTTCCGTCAAGTTCACCATCGTGTATAAGTATTAATTTGCCGAAAAGTCTATCCAAGAGCCACAAGCGAATGTCTTTCCGAATATCTAGGAGCGTTTGTCTCACACTTTCACAACAAGGACCGGTAGTTCCTGGCTTCGGCTTCACCGTATCGGTGCTCACTGCTGTCTCCGTATGAATGTGAGCACCGGATGCGAGTGCCACGAAGGTGCCCAAGAGGGCGATACAAAATATACGCATTGTCTACCAAGAACGTGGGCTCAAGTTTATCTGTGGGCCACAACGACAACTGGGCTGCTTTTATACTTTATCGACATATTCGGGTTTATTGTCTTTTCTATAATTTGGATATTTGCGTAGATGCTTTTGTGCAGTTAAGCAAATTTCTCATTGTTCCAAAACATTTGGTACTTCTATTGTTCCAAAAAAAAAGAAATATTAAAACTCTATTCTTGATACTGAACCCACGATATACGATTATAGAAAAGGAACTAAACAGCTGTGCAAAATATTTGCTCCGAGCTTAGATTAAACAAGATTCAGACTTTCTTAAGACTTTACTTTGGCTAAGACGTCAAACGTGCTGCAATTACCAAAAATAATTGGAGTATGAGGAGCGTGTTTCCAAGACAAAGCGTTGTTTATTTGAGTTCTCAGCAGATTCGAATTTTCCAAATTATGCCATATTCATATTTATTCTTTCAACATTTTATTTATACCACATGTACATAAGTGTAGGGATTATTGTATAGAAATATTGTCACCATAGACTTCAATCAGAACTCGTCCTTCTCAAATGGATGGTGTGGATGACCGTATTGGCTGTAAAATATCGAAAAGATATGTGTAAGTGCAAGTGAATTATATAAATTGAACTCAAAAGCAGCAATAAAATCAAAACAATGTTAACACTGGTCTAGCTACGGGTCTAACAGGCTGGAAAGTACTTTATAATTGTTAGTAAGGTATTGGGAATATAGTTATATTTTCTTTAATTTGATTAACTAAAGCGCATTCCAATCAAATTAAATGAGATTGGACTACAAAAGCGGGTAACTATTTGGTGAACAGAAACGAGTAAATAAACAAAACAAACAGGCTGTAAAAAAATAGTTCAAGTATTTAAACATACGTCTGTGCTTCTCGGATTTCGCGCTGTTAGTTTCGCCAGAAATATTTACTTAATTATGTGTGTTCATATATCATATGTCTCATACGGTTAGAAAGATTTCTTGTGATTTAATTTAATATTCGTCGTGAAATGGATAATATTTATGACCGCCAGCATCTCTAAATAATCATATTTTAGAAAAAAATTACAATCAAATCCATATACAAATATCAAAGAGAAATCAATAGAAAATAATAATAAATAAACCACTTATATATAAATACTTAACATAATATAATACATTTCGATTTCAATGGGAATTAATAAACGGAAAACTTACTTGAGCAGTGGCACCAGGCGTCCATTACATTCGAAACTTTCAATTGTTTTGATTTCCTCAGGTGTTAAAACGAAATCAAAAACTTTAAAGTTCGATTCGATACGTTCCTTGGTCACAGACTTTGGTATAACAATGTTATTGCGCTGGATCTGATAGCGTATCAGAATCTGTCCAGGTGTCTTTTTCTTTGATTCAGCAATGTCCTTAATCTAAAAGAGGATACAGTTTAAATGTTGAACAGTCTGTTGTGCATTTTCACTTAATTGACTTACGGCTTGTTCCTCTAGAATCACGGGATCACCCTCCTTGGCCCAAGGACGGTTCGGGCTGCCCAAAGGGCTGTATGCGGTAATGGCAATATTCTTTGCTTTGCAAAAATCGGAAAGTTTCTTTTGGGTTAAATACGGATGGCATTCGATTTGATTTGTGGCTGGGGGTATTTTTGCAACCTCCAGCACGCGCTCAATTTGGTTCTTGTTGAAGTTGGAAACGCCAATGGACTTAACTAGACCGTCTTCAACGAGCTTCTCCATGGCCTTCCAGGTGTCTACGTAATCGTCTGGCGAGAACAGAGTTTTGCCATCTTTATCAACTGGGAACAGATCGCAGCCCTCCCTGTAACCCATTGGCCAGTGAATCAAGTATAGATCTAGGTACTTCAGCTTCAACAAATCCAATGTATTCTCACAAGCAGCCCTCACAGCGGCTGGACGATGAAATGTGTTCCATAGCTTGCTGGTGATGAACAAATCCTCGCTACAAGAAAAACAAAAATACTTAATGCCTAAGACTACAAGTGTTGTTCCGGGTCAAATACCGCTTGACAACGCCTTCGTTGATTTTGGCCTCAATGCCAGCACCGACCTCAGCTTCGTTCTGATAGACATAGGCACAATCAATGTGCCGATAGCCAACATCAATGGCTGTCTTAACCGCCTCAACCACTTGTCCAGGAGGGCTCTGAAAAGCAACAACAAATTAATTCACATTAGTGTGGCAAAAAAAATGGGATTGAGATTAAGGGTCATTTGCTAATTAATCTTTTACCATATGTCAAGATTAATTTCACAATTTATGATTCAATTGGAATGTTTTATATTGTCTGGATGACTTAGAAAATGTAAATTGAGCTGCCTATCTGCGACTGAATGTCACTTATCAGCCATTTCGATATGCGACAGATTCAGTTTCTGTTTAGTGAAATGACTAGAGTACAAACACGTCATTTGAAGTGGGAATACAATTTTTCCATTTAGGATTGAAATATCAAATATACCTTCTGTATTTGACCATCTGGATTCAACAAGTGTCTAGATAAGCACATTTATCAGTTTATCAGTGCTAGAGCACTCGCTTATAAGTACGCATGTATTGTACATAATTTATTAAGAGGTGACTTGACAAATTCAAAAATTTTCCGCTGACATTAAATCGGACAAGAGGTCACCTTGGTACCTTGTGTAAATATGTATGGGAATTCACAGACAGCTGTAAGTAGTTGAAAATTGCTGGAGGTCTCATTATCGCCTGTTACATTTCAGTTTTTACAAGCGGATCACACCCACAGACACATACGCACATACATTTTAACACATGCATATACATATACATACATATAAAAGCCGGCGTAAAGCGGACGCCTCTCCCGGCTAACTATCAGCTGGGCTGTTGGGCCTGTTCCAATTATCGCGACGTAAAAGAAAAAAGTAGGAAGTCGTGGGTGACGGATAAAATGAGACTATGGGAATATTCAAGTTATGCGAATGCAAGCATCTAATATCATTATACTTTTAACTGTACATTCTTAATTAGTTAAACATGCACGTCCGTGTACTTACATTCCAGGTACCCAGGCCGATGATGGGAATATCGTAGCCACTGTTTAGCTTAACGGTAGGCACTTTGCTAGACATTTCGAGTATTTGTTTTATTTGCTTAATTATTTTCGTAAAGGATATATGGTAAAATTAATATGAATTAACTATTTAAAAATTGAATGAGAAACTAAGCACCGACACACAGCTGTAGGCGGCTTTTATATGCACAATGGCCGCTTTTGCAAAGCGAAAGCTTTGCCAAGCTTTTGAAAAGCACGAGGTCTGCATTTAAATGTGCATCGATAACAGCTGTGCGATCACTTTCGAATCGCAAGCGCCACAAATATCGATATATATCGAACAAACTTCAATTTGAGTTTTAATATTTACAAGTTTTGCATGCTCCTCGGCTCGCTGACGAAGTTGTGTGTACTCGAGGAAACCGAGTCGCAGGCTTTTCAGAGCGCGATATATGCATAACTCCACTTTGTCCATGATGTGTGTGCGTGTGTGTGTGTGTGTATATATATATAAAAATTTCGTTCAGAATATAAAAATGTTTTCCAAAGTTATTTAGATTTGGTTTTTTGTACAAAGTATAAAGTATAAAGTAAATAAAACTAATATCTAATGAATGTAACTACATAGAACAGAATTGTAAATCTTAGCTTACATTCCATGTTCCCAGTCCTATAATCGGAATCTCTTTTCCATCGGCAAGAACTGCCTTAGGCACAGCATTTAATTCCTCTTGGCACCTGCAGCCATATTTATTAGATAATAATTGATAATAACTGGCAATAACTGTCTTACCATTTGAATCTTTCAGGTTTTGCATAGCCTCTAAATGTGGTTTGGTATATGGATCGGATTAGCCGAATAGGATATCTGAAATGTCCGCTCATTTTACACAGAATAAACGTTTTGTTTCTGTTTTTAAATTTTATTTTTTTAGTTTTTCACTAGAGCTTAATTTTTTCAGGGATTACTATGTTTTTTCAATTTTCATATGAAAAAGAGCATTATGAAAATATATATTAAAACGAAAAAGAGCATGCTTACAAAGCCAAAAATGAAAACGTTTTAATACTAAAATCAGAATATATTTGAAAAACGCAACTCTCATGATCCCAGCTAGTTTGACATATGTTAACAAAACTTAATAGCTTAATTTAATTAGTTAAACTCGATGTCTATGCATATCCTAACTCGACATAGACACAGGTACACAGCAGATTTTAAATCCAATAAATACATATTCGCATGTGGTTTTATAATTGCTTTGGAGCATCAATTTCAAACGGATGATGAGGATGTCCATAGGCAGCTTTCATTGTCATGAAGCGCCCGTTGCAGTCAAGGTCATCGATGGCCTGCAAATCATCATTGTCCAGCCCAAAGTCCCAAATCTTCTTGAAGTTCTCGTACATGTGATGCTTGCTAACGGAGCGCGGTATAACAATAATGCCCGATTGCGTCTGGTAGCGCAGCAGCACCTGGGCCGGCGTACGCTCGTATTTGGCAGCGATTTCCAATATAACCGGATGCTTGAGCAGCGGATAGGCGCCGGGCTTCTCGTAGGGCGTGTGTGCGGATCCCAATGAGCTGTACGCGGTCACGGCAATGGCATTGTCGTAGCACAGCGTGATCAAGGTCTTTTGCCGCAGATACGGATGACATTCGATTTGAAGCACCACCGGCTTCAGCTTGGCAACGCTCAGCAGCCGATTGATTTGCTGTTCATTGAAATTGGATACGCCAATGGCGTGACACAGACCACTGTCAACCAAATGCTCCATGGCCTTCCAGGTGTCTATGAAATCGATATTCTCAAAGACCGCCTTGCCAGTGTCGGGACATGTGGGATAGAGATTGTTGCCCGACTTATATGCCATGGGCCAATGCATGAGATACAGATCCAGATAGTCGACACCCAGATTACAGATGCTTGTCTCGCAGGCGGCGCGCACCAGATCCGGTCTATGGTGCGTATTCCATAGCTTACTTGTTATGAACAGCTGATCCCTGTGGAAGATGCCATCAATTATCTCTAGCTATTACAAATTTACGTTTACGCTTACCTTGTTACCACACCCTCTTTGAGCTTCTCAGCGATTGCGGCGCCAACTTGTGCCTCATTCCCGTAAATGTGGGCGCAATCAAAGTGCCGATATCCTATATCAATGGCATCCTTTACAGCCTGTGTTATCACTTCTGGTGGACTCTGAAAGCAAACAATGATACCGTTAAAAAGCTTTAGTTTGCAGTGCCTTGAAAGCTTTAAAAGCTCTCTCCTCTGCCAAAAGGCAAGTGCCGTTGAACCAACTATACACAAGTAAATCCATTTTGTTTTCTAGTATATTTTGGCGTTGTTTTGTGATTATTCAATAATTTCACAGCAGTTGCGATGCGTTTACTTACGCGCCATGTGCCCAGGCCGACCATTGGCATATTTTTGCCATTGCTCAAAAGAAAATTCGGCGTTGACATTTTCTTCTGTATGCGAAACAAATTATATTGAACTATTATTTAGAAGCGCGCTTGTTCCATTTACCGAAAGTAAACGCAAGGAGAAAGCCCTATTAATTTTGCTACAAACGAATTTCATTGACAGCTTTTAAAACTACAAACATGCGTACATATGTCTGTATTGTGCGTACGTATATTGTTCAAATTTAGAAAACTTTTTGGCAACAGCACACAGCAGTTTTTTTTTACTATTATGACCTTGGAAATGTGTGAATATTTATTATATCTTTTGGCTTTTAAAATGCAGTTATTTTTAAGCAAATATCAATCACTAAAAGGGTGTGTACACACTGCCAGCCTATCAATATAAAGTTATCGACTTAATGCGATGGTCGCTTTGTGTGTGACTTATCGATATCCTAATGCTGTTCCATCGCTGTTTTGTTTGCCGGCCCTCCACAAAACATCAACAGCAAACTCGCAAACCACATTCAACTAATTTATAAGGTGTTGGAAAGATTAAGGATTACCTATTGTTATTGATCCTTCGGGCGGACGGTTTACAAAAATATGTTTGGGACCGTTAACAATTATCTTTCCGGTGTGTTACGTGCTGCCGAGGACTACGATGGTGACAATTTGGCCACATTTTTGTCGCTGCGTGACGTACACGTCCAGAATCACAATTTGTACATAGCCCAGCCGGAAAAGCTGGTGGAGCGCATGCTAAAGCCGCCATTGGATGAAGTAGTCGGTGCACATCTGAAGGTGCTCTACTATTTAGCCCAAGAGCCACCCAACTACATGGACGCCTACAACCAGCAGGCGGCCAGTTGCTCGGCTGTCGTGAAGCTGCTGCAGCAACTCAAGGATGAGAACTGGTGCCTTCCGCTCATGTACCGCGTGTGCCTCGACCTGCGCTACCTGGCACAGGCGTGCGAGAAGCATTGTCGTGGCTTCACACCGGGCCACATACTGGAGAAGGCGGCCGACTGTATGATGGCCTGTTTTCGCGTGTGCGCCGCCGACGGACGTGCGTCGGAGGAGGAGACAAAGCGACTGGGCATGATGAATCTGGTGAATCAGCTGTTTAAGGTCTATTTTCGGATAAATAAACTGCATCTGTGCAAGCCTCTCATCCGCGCCATTGACAATTGTGCGTTCAAGGAGAGCTTTCCGCTGCCGGAGCAAATTACCTACAAATATTTTGTTGGTCGGCGCGCCATGTTCGACTCAAACTATCGCATGGCTGTTGAGGATCTGTCCTATGCCTTTACCCACTGCCCAGATCGATTTACGAGCAACAAGCGCTTGATACTCATTTATCTGGTGCCGGTGAAAATGTTGCTCGGCTACCTGCCACGCAAATCGCTGCTGGAACGCTACGATCTTTTGCTCTTTCACGATCTGGCGCTCGCCCTAAAGGCCGGCAACGTGAACAAGTTTGATGAGATCGTGCATGAGCAGGAGCTGGTGCTCATACGGAGTGGCATTTACTTGCTCGTCGAGAAGCTCAAGTTTATTGTGTATCGTAATCTGTTTAAGAAAGTTTTCGCCATTAGACAGACACATCAATTGGATATGAGTGATTTCCTTTCGGCATTGCAGTTTGTCGGTGTAACAGACGTGTCCATGGATGAGACGCACTGCATCATAGCGAATCTTATATACGATGGCAAAATTAAGGGCTACATTTCACATGCCCACAACAAATTGGTTGTTTCCAAGCAAAATCCGTTCCCGCCATTAATTTCAACATAGACATTTTAAGACTTTTCAATAAAAGAAACAAGGTTTTGTTGCCTCTGTGATCAAACAGCTGTTTTATTTTTACGCGCCATTTAAATTGGGCTGGAAATATAAGTCACGAAAATGTAATTGATATATTTGTTCACGCAGGGCTGCAAAACAACTATCGATAGTCCGAACTGTCAGTGGTCAGGCCGCATGCACACACAAGTCACACACATGCACACACGTATAGGCCTGTGTATATTTCTAATAGCTCAGCTGAAACAGTTTGGTGTAAACGATATAAATTAAATAGAATTACTAAAAGTTGTTGGTAAATCCAATGCATGCAACGTATAACTTTAAGCAACTAGTTAAACGCTGAAACAATGTGTACAGCTTAAATATTAGATATTCGACCGGCGCTGTGAAATTACGCTTGCAATCGCAAAATCAATATTGCTAATTTTGCTTTGGTTTTTTTTCTCTTTTTAAAATGACATAACTATAACGCATTACAAATTGTACATATAACGAAATTAACAAGCAGTCTTTGTTGTTGCTTCCGTTTTGCTTTTTTTCAGAAAACTGCGCAAAGAAAGCACTGCGTACCTGGCACATACCAAGAAATTTGTTTTCCTTTCTGTGCACCTAACGAAAGAGGCTAAACGCTCGACATGGCAGCCCCGGTCATTGTTGAGGCCACGGCCAAGCAGACGGCGACGGTAAGTGAGACAGAAATATAGTGAATACATTGTTTATAAAAACTGTTTCATCAATTAAAAACTCTCTTTCCCTCACGCAGCTCATATTCATGCATGGCCTGGGCGACACCGGGTATGTACAACAGCTTTGTGGTAATTTTGTGCATATTAAAATATAATTTGTGTGCTTTGTAGACATGGCTGGAGCAGCGCCTTGGCCGCTGTGCGTCCGCCATTCATGAAGGTGATCTGTCCAACGGCGCCGACACAGCCCGTTTCGCTGAATGCCGGATTTCGTATGCCCTCGTGGTTCGATCTGAAGACACTGGACATTGGCGGGCCCGAGGATGAGCCAGGTATACGCTCTGCACGAGACAATATACACGGCATGATAAACAAGGAGCTGAGCGCCGGCATACCGGCCAATCGCATTGTCCTTGGCGGCTTCTCACAGGGCGGCGCACTGGCTCTCTACTCGGCATTGACCTTTGAACAGCCACTGGCCGGCGTTGTTGCGCTATCGTGCTGGCTGCCACTGCACAAGCAGTTCCCCAGTGCCAAGATTAGCAGCGATGAGGTGCCTATATTCCAAGCACACGGCGACTATGATCCTGTGGTGCCTTACAAATTTGGACAGCTCAGCGCCAGTCTGCTCAAGTCGTTCATGAAGAATGTCACCTTCAAGACATATAGCGGACTCTCGCACTCGTCCTCCGACGAAGAAATGAATGATGTCAAGGTGAGTGCGCGGCGCGGCGGCTGCTTCTTAATAATTGATGAATTGACAATCTTATCGTTAAAGAATTTCCTTACTCTCTGTCTGCTCTTATCTCTTACAGGACATAATCAGTAAATGGGTAAACTAATTTCCATTAAGCACTTTAGCACTTTTAGCGCGCCTTCGTCTCGTGCATTCCACATTTGCGCAACAGCAAGAAAATATAAATACAATAATAACAATTAACGAAAAATACACTAAAATCGGGAAAATACAATTATTTAAACACGAATAAAAATAAAAATCACAGTAAGCAAGCTTCAACTGGACACAAACAAAACACAACTTAGCAGCGGCGACTTTAAAGAAGTCGAATTAAAAGTTGATCTTAGTCAAATTGAGGAAAGTTAGACAAGCAATCAATTAAATATACTACGCAATACCACGTATAATCCAACCCAATAATAGAGCGTGATGCTAATGCAGGTTGTGTTGAGCGAGTTTGTCGCGACTCTCGTTGATAAAGACACAATTGAAAGCTAGCTACTTTCAGTACACACAAATTATGTGCTTATTTTTTCGTTCAGTTTATTAAAAAAAAAAAAAAAACAAAACAAATTAAAAACTACCAATAAAGCTAATTAATACATTAAAGAAATATTAATTATTCGAAACAATTGAATGATAATTTTGAAAATCAAGAGATCTACTCGATTAGCGGACATTAAACAATTTGTGGCACGTTAGTATTCGAGGTTTTTCTAAGACTAAATTCATTTTCCAGAAGGTTTCCTCACTTGGAAACCTAAAAAAAAAAAAAAAAACAACGTTAAGTTTTTAAAATTAACACTTTACTGTAACCCAAACTTTTCAATGCAATGCCTCTTAACTTAATTATTTTTTTTTTTGTTTTTTCTTTTATTCTATTTATACAGCAAGAATCACAGTCACACCATCTGTAGTAATCAGCTGAGTTTTAGTTAACTTATTCTTTTTAGCGTAATTTGTGGTTTTAGTTTGTGCTTTGATCCATCTACTTTAAATATAATTAAATAAAGCCACTTGCTCTTTTGGATTGTGCTTTTAATGTTTTGTTTTTTGCTTCAAATTATTCTTTTGTCGTACAATTACAATTTACCATCTATATTCTGTAGCCTGTACTCTGTATAAACCTAAATATTTGCCTACTAACCTTAGAGCTTTCGCCTTACTCATTCATCTTTCATCTATATATTTGCAGACGCATTGGGAGGGCCCGAGCATGGCTAGAAAGGCGCAATGCTGCCAGATATCATAGTAGCCATAGGCTATGAAATGTAGTCGCAGTTCCTTCCACACAAAAATCAGAGCTCCTGTTCGGCCCCTAGTCAAGAAACGCGCCCGAGCAGACGTCTGAAACTTAAGAGAATTGTATTTTAGATATTATTTTGTACATAGAAACGTATTATGTAGACTTTAGGCATATTATTAGCTATTGGATGTCTCCACTTGGTGGTCGGACGAGAAGCAGATTCGCTAAAGCGAACTTAAACAAATAAAGTTATGTGACGACTAGCTCTTAAAGCTGTTCAAAACTGGAAATGGGTTGCATTACCCAGCACAGATGGGGAGTGCTGTGACTTTTAATAATGTTTAGATGGCTGCTGTTTTGTATTTAATGGAAATCAAATTTAAGTGAAATAACGGCTGGGGCGGTAGGTCACAATAGAGCAATCGAAATCGATAGTCGATAACTGCGCCACTTGTACACGGTCAAGCAGCTGCGGTCATGCCTATTGATATGTTATCGATATATTATGGCGTTAAATTTAAATAACAGTTTTTTGGCGCCATATGCAGCGCAACGATATCTGCTGAGAACTCAATATGCAAATGCTTCAAATTGATTTAAAGCTGAGGTGCGATGGATGAACTATGGTAATTGTTGATAGGACTTAAATTGATGCATGGCAACCAAAAAACCGGCAAATTAAAATAAATAAATTGGCGGATTTTGAGCAAAGTAAACAAACAAACAGCGAGTTAAGCCCCCTTTCGCGTACATACACACACACGGGCACACGCACACACACACACACACACACACACACACACACACAGCTAAGTAACGTTCGCGAACGTGAACATTCACGACTTCGCTGCTCTTCGTTCAGTTGTTTCCGTATCGCCGCTAAGTTTGGACGCGTTCGCTCCCCGCACTTGCAGTTTCCAAAGTTCGCGCCGTCGCCTTTATTTTGATAATAAGCGCGAATGCAGTAAAGCCAAATACAAGCGGATAAACAAAATTAATGGCAATTGTGAGTGAAAATCAAATGGCAAATCAATTTAGCCCAACCCAAATATAGGCAAGCAAATTTAACTAAAACCAAATTCCAAGCACAACAAAAATTTTACGTACAAAATAAACAGTTTTGCGGAAAGCGAAAGTTACGGTTGCACTTTTGTAAATTTGCTGTTGCGGTTGTTGTGTACGGTGTATGTGCGTATTTGGCCTGGGCTGGGCCATTTTTGTGTGTTTTTTTTTCTTGGTTTGGTCACAAAGGAAGCTTTATAACGTGTTAAATGCAATGTTGTTGTTGTTGTTGTTGTTGTCATTCCCGCATTCCATCTGCAAAGTGCAATAAAGGCATATGCAGGCATGTAGATGCGTATCTATGTATCTGCCATACATACATACATATGTACTCATGTATGTATGTACGTGCTCAATAAACTCAAGAAGTGCGTGCAACTTTTGTTGCAATCTTCTTGTAGATATTTCTTTTACTGTTTATTCGTTATGCATATGCGCGTGTATGCGTGCGTGTATATGTGCTTGCATTGTTGTGGGCGCGCAGGGATACTCTTATACGGCACCCTGTTGCGCCCTTTTCACATTTTCGCTATGCATTTGTTCTCGAGGTGCGCCCTCTAAAAGGTACATGTGTGTATGTATGTGTGATTCGTTGAACTGCAACGGTATACGATTTATCCAGGCAAAATGGATAAGCAAGTACTTAACACAAATTTCAATTGATTATATTTAGTATGCTGCAAGGGAACTTCAATTGTAAGGAATAAAATTTGTAATACTCTGATTTGTGTTATAAGACGCTTCAAAGTCCTAATTATTTTCTATACATTTATTTTAAAAGTAATTTAATGTTATATTTTAATTATTTTGCATCATTAAAAGTTCGTTGATCGTTTTATTAATTGCACACGCAATCCAGGTTGAGGTGAGCTTCAGCTGATTATAATCAACTGTAAACTAAAAACTCATTAACCCTACATCCGTTAAAGCCAGTGTTGAGCAGTTAAAAATATATAAGAGTTAACAGCTGAACTATATAATATTTGGCCAATTGGTTGTTAAAAAACAAAATTGATATTTACGTATTTCGCAGAGGGAAATCACGCAACAACTTTTGAGCTAATTATGATAAATATGCAAAGAAACAAAATAAAAACCGCAAACTTATGCTGTTTAACAATCAATTATCCATAACTTTGATTTATCATCGGTACTCTAATATTCTGAGAGAGAATGCTGAAATTTGTGTGGGTATATTTAAGCCACAAGCTGATCCATAGTTCCGCTCATTGTCCGATTGCTGTTGTTGTCGAATACCCAAATTCACGGCTGTACAACCGGGGCATATACTTCTAGGGCTGACTGTAAGCTGGCAGATCGAAACGTGATTAGCACAATAATGGGGAATGGAGAATTCATTGTTCATCGGTTCATTAAAAGTCAATCGGGCATGTTGCAATTCATTTTTCTAATCCAAAATGATGAGTGCAATGTTTCAGCTGATAATTAAATTTCGCTTTGTTTATACAATTTTATAATTCACGAATTTTCTAGCTTGCCATCTCTCTCTCTCTCTCTCTCTCTCTCTCTCTCTCTCTCTCTCTCTCTCTTTCTCTCTCTCCCTCTCTCTCTCCTCTCTCTCTCTCTGTCTCTCTCTAGGCAATTTAGCAGACTCACCCTTTTTAGGTGCAATTATCACTAAATTACGTAGTTACAAATTATTTTACCTTTTTTTTTTTGCATTTGCATTTGCATTTTTGCACTCTTTAGAAGTTGATTAATCACGCCAATCAAAATCCAATTAAGCTGAGATATTTCTTATTCAGTTTCACATTTCCGATCTCCAATCTGCAGTCATTTAATTTATGTGCATTTTGATATACTTAGTTTTCTAGGGTCAGTTGATAGCTATTTATTTATGCTTTTCAACAAAAACGCGTAGATGAATAAAATATATATAAATATAAAATACTTACGTGTGTTTACATGAATATTCCGATGCGATTTGAAATAATGATACGCTGACAGCTCGAAATCGTGACCAATTGCAATTACACTTCTACTGATTTAAATATAAATCTATATACATAAGAGAAAAAAAAAACCCAAATGAAAGATAGTTTTTATACATCTTACCTGATACTGAACTTTCCCAACGCGCCAATCGCACGTAATTTTAATTTCAATTTTTTTTTTTTTAGTTCCAATGTTCGCTTTGTTCTTTATGACAAATAAATACAAAGCTGAATACTTAACACTTGGCATGAGTCAAAAGTTTCTCTCCCCCGCGGCCCTACCGCTCTCCTGTCTAAAGGCACGATAATCTCTATATATACAGCTGTTTGTCCTGACTGATTGACTGACTGACTGATTGACAGACTGATTGGCGCATAGCGTGAAAGCTAGGAAGCTGCAATTTTCACTGGGATTTTCACGTGATAAAGTCGGATGGATATTCCACCCGCAAGTGTGGAAAAAGTGCGAAAAACGTTTGTATGAAACTGTTTTGTTTACCATTCGATCGGGTTCGAAACTTAAATTTAAAGATCTTTGTTGGAATACGTTTAATTCATTTTTCAAAATTGTAACCCTCATTGTTGAAAATGGGGGTCAAAGATTCGGTGGGTCTCAAATTCATTTCCAAGGATTTACATAAAAAATCATTTAGAACGTGTTTCACATTTTTCGCAAAATCGAAACTTCTTCGGTGAAAGGTGTATTTCCAACGTTTTTTTTCACTTTTTTTCAAGGTCTATAAAGGAATATGATGTAAGCGTTTTTCAGTGATTTGTGAAATTCCACTCGCAGCAGTGGTAAATTGGCGGAAAACGTTTGTATGAAAGTTTAACGTCCGATCAGTTTCAAAATCTTTTTGAATACATTGATTTTATGAAATACGTGCCACGGGCAAGGCCGGGTTATACCCGGCTAGTGTTATTTTGAAGAGGGAACATCAGACATAGGCAATTAGCATATAGCATGCGAATATGCTAATTGTCGAATCCAATAGATTTTAATTGGAGCGCGCATTTCCCTGTGTGGAAAGTATTTTCCAACAATACCCCAGCAGGGCTTATGGCAGGGCTTATGGCCCATGTATGGGCCAATAAAAAAAGGCTGGGGTATTTTTAGTTGCACGAGTCCAAAAACGAGTTTTAGTCCGCAGCGCAGACGCTTTGCTTTGCATTAAGCCAACGTTCCGGAGACGACGCCAAATACATTAAGCAAAGCAAATAAATGGACGCAAATCAGAAACGATATCAAAGTATTCTGCATTTGTTTTCAGCCTTTGTACAGGGTGCTCCAAATAATGTTTGAACATTTCCGATTCAATCGCAACATGTTCCAAAGTTTACTTTTAACTTAAAAAA